GTATTTTACCTCCAATCGTCAATAAACGGAGCTTTTCGAACCCGAACTTCAACCTCCGATTTCTCTTTTGAAACTCAACGAAAGTTCGGTTTCTTGAAACAAAAATGTAGAGCAAAGTGTTGTCTACATGTATATGTAATTTTTTTGTCGTAATAGTTGAATATTCAGACTAATAGAAGGCTTCAAACGAAWTGTCGTTTTCAAGTTTCTGAAAATTTCAGATCTGGCGAATTTACAAACAGCTCCTTCTGATTTGGACCTGTTTACATCTGACCCAACCCCTTAACTATCGCGAATTTACAACTTTCACCCATGTCTTGACTTTTTCTTTCACTTTTGGTTCGATTTTTAAACTTCTTTTAATTTCTTTATTCATTTAATGTGTGTGTATATATATATATATATATATATATAAGTACATGTGTGTGTTTTATAATTCAAAAAGAAAAAAAAATGAAAAGAATATTAATGAAGATAAAATTATTTATTCCTCGAAATTTTTGGGTTTTACAACTCTTCCCTCCTTCAAGAAATTCCGTCCTCAGAATTAATACTCGCTAAAACAATTAAGGATATTTAGCTTTCATTTCTTCTTCCGGTTCCCACGTCATTTCTGTACCTTTATGGAATTTCCACTTAACTAATACCAATGGTATACTTTTGTTTCTTAGTCTTTTCGTCTTTTTATCCAATATATCAACTGGTTCTTCCACATAAGCGAGCTTGTCGTTAACCTCGATGTCTTCTAAATCCACAACAGTTGATTCGTCAGTTAAACATTTCCTCAAGTTCGACACATGAAAGGTATCGTGAATACCACCTAACTCATTTGGTAGTTTCAACCGATAAGCAACTGTTCCTACTCTTGCAGTTATCTCAAATGGTCCGATATACCTTGGATTTAGCTTACCTTTCTTTCCAAATCTTACGACCCCTTTCCATGGTGATATTTTCAACAAGACTTTATCACCTACTTGAAATTCCAAAGGTCGACGTCTTCTATCCGCATAACTCTTTTGTCTATCTTGCGCAACCTTTAACCTATCCCTGATTTGTACTATTTTATCAGATGTCTGTTGGACTAACTCGGGTCCAGCTAGTTGTCTTTCTCCAATGTCTGCCCAACAAATTGGAGTTCTACATTTACGGCCATATAACGCTTCAAATGGTGCCGCCTTGATGCTCGAATGGTAACTATTGTTATAAGCAAATTCTATCAATGGGAGGTGGTTGTCCCAACTACCTCCAAAGTCAATCACACAAGCTCTCAACATATCTTCTAGTGTTTGTATCGTCCTCTCACTCTGGCCATCAGTTTGAGGATGATATGCAGTACTCATGTTCAACCGTGTTCCCATTTCTTGTTGAAAACTTGGCCAAAATCTCGAAGTAAACCTAGCATCTCTATCTGAGACAATGGATATCGGTACACCATGTCTCGACACGATCTCATTGACGTAAAGTTGAGCCAATCTTTCTAATGTATACTTGTCGCTGATCGGTAAGAAGTGAGCAAATTTCGTTAGTCGATCCACAATTACCCATATGGCGTCGTGTCCCTTTACCGTCCTTGGAAGTTTGGTGACAAAGTCTATCGTGATCATATCCCACTTTCATACTGGGATCTCCATTTGTTGCAACATTCCAGACGGTCTTTGATACTCGGTCTTCACTTTCAAGCACGTCAAACATTTCCCCACGTAGCTAGCTACTGCCCTTTTCATACCAGGCCACCAATAGCTTTCTTTTATGTTCTTGTACATCTTATTACTACCTGGATTCATAGTGTATTTGGATTTATGTGCTTCATCCATCACTACATTTCTTAGATCCCCCAAACTAGGAATCCAAACCCGATTTCCATGTCTATATATTTCATCTGGTCCAGCTGTCAAAGTCTTAATTTGTCCAATCATTCTCTTGTTTTTGATGTTCGTTTCGAGTAAAGCTTCCTTTTGGACATCCCGTACTTGGTCTAGAAGCTCCACTTTAACACTCATCCACATGGCTCGAACCCTGATTGGTCCGTTTCTCTCCTTCCTACTAAGTGCATCGACAACTACATTTGTCTTACCTGGATTATAGTGAATCTCACAATCATAATCCTTAAGTAGTTCCATCCATCTCATTTGTCTCATATTTAGCTCCTTTTGATCAAACAAGTACTTAAGGCTCTTATGATCAGTATAGATCATGCACTTCGTACCATACAAATAGTGTCTCCAGATTTTTAGCGCGAAGACTACAGCTGCTAATTCCATGTCGTGAGTTGGGTATCTCCTCTCGTGTTCTTTCAACTGACGTGACGCATATGCAATGACCTTGCCTCGCTACATTAGTACACAACCTAAACCCATTTTTGATGCATCGCTATAAACGACAAAATCTTCTACTCCTTCCGGTAGTGATAAAACCGATGCAGTGCTTAGTCTCTCCTTAAGTGTCTGAAATGCTTCTTCTTGTTTCGTCCCCCAATCAAACTTAACCGACTTCTTTGTCAGTGTTGTCAAATGCGTTGCTATCTTGGAGAAATCTTGGATGAACCTTCGGT